GAAAACAAGGCAGGGGTTCCTAAAAGGAATTGCCCTTCTCCATGATTTTGTGCAGTACAGCGAGGCTCAGTGAGGCACATGCAGGCTGGGGTGGGATGTACAACACAGGACATCACTGATACAGGCTGCACAGAGAGTGCAAACCAGTGCTGCTGAGATAACCTGTCTGCTGAAGATGCTGCTGTCATTTCAGGATGTTGTTGAGGGCATGGAAAATAATACTTAATAAGTGCTTAAAGTAGACAGCATACAAGTGAATTGTAATGCATAGAGGGGAAAATGTGATAAACTAATAGCCTTTGACAGTACTCTGTGACACCTCAATTTTTGGAGAAAATTATAAGCTTCTGATAAAATAATAAGAAAAAAAGGAAACAGTCTATCTTTCATCTGCTTGCATCTCTCTAGTTCACAGGAATGAATACTGATACAGAAGCAAGAAGTAGAGGGTGAAGGAGAGGGCTGAGGTGGGAAAGATTGTGATTATACCAAGAAAAGGGAATACAATCAACTAACACAATCAAAATTAAAGAAAAAAGAGAACTTTATATAAACTTAAAGGGGAAGAATTTCCCCATTACGTATGCTGCAAAACAAGAGAAGAATAAAAAAATGGGTGGCCTATAGTGTTTATCCTGGAAATACATAAATACAGTATAAATAAATTTTAAAAAATGTATTAGTGGGGCTACAGCAAAACATTAGGTAAGGGATGAGCTGACAGAATAATAATGTAGAGTGTTGCTATAAATTCTCCTAAAACAAAGGGAGAATTTCACTAACATGACATTATAAGGAAATTTAGAGTAGAACTTTTCAGGTTAACATGAGCATTTTTGAAGGCAAAATAGGCAGTAATGGTGTAGTGGTTAGATGTGAACTACCACGAATATTGAAGTTAAAAGCTAGCAGAAGTACTAGGGTAAGTAGAGGATCATTAACTTTCATCCCACTCATTTCCAGTCTTTGAAAGGAAGGTGAAAAGGCAGGAGGAGAAAGCAGTACTACAGAAAGCAGCAAAAAAAACCCCAAAAAAACTTGATGAAAATTATACCAGATCTCTAGAACTGGAAAGACCTAAAGGACCTATTCCTAGTCAATAGCACCTCTGAGATAAAACAATGGAAATGACAGAGAAATTATCCATCATCTGAGATGGAGACAATGATGAGAGGAAATACAGAAAATTATTAAGATAAATATTAAGTTCTCAATGATATGGTTTGCCCATGAAATTGTGTCTGTGCCCTGTGATGTCTCATGTTTCAGTAGTGCAAAATTCACTCTTGAATGAATTTAGAGAAAATATCATGTCATAGCAATACACAGGGGTTCTCCATCATCCTGTGCTCAAATTCTGCTCAAAGCCAGAATATGCAAGATAATGTTTCTCCTTACAGGGTAGGGCCAAAAGCTTTGCAGCAGACAGCAGGATTATTTTTGGGAGATGCAGTTGAATATGCCATATTAAATACAGCTGTAGCTTGACACAAAGTTTAGGAACACTCCTCCTGCTGTTATAGGCTTTGTGAAGAGTGGGATGTACCTGGTGGAAGCTGTGAAACTCCTACTGAAATACATTGGAAAGCTACAGTGATGTGTTAGACAAAAAGGTTAGGTGTAACTTAGAATTTTCAGGCTTAAAAATAGAAAAAATGAAAAAAGAAAAAATATAATTTCAGTGTCTTCAATGAAAAACTTCCCTGTGCTCAGACCATTCAATCTGTTTTATCCATGTAATGAATCAATGCACATGGTATACAGAATGGAAGAGTAACAAATTAATTATTTTAGCTAATATCAGCAGATGTTAACCTGCATCACATGACTTTCTGTAGCCTGATGCAATGCTGTGTGTTTAGGGTCAAGGAGCAATGACCTGTCTGAAAGGAATTGTTTCTTTTTCCACAATGATGACAGTGAAGAATCAGGGAAAATATTGGGGACTGTTAGTAGAGTTATTTTGTGTTCCTCTCTTATATATTGCCTATTGGGGAAAGAAATTCCCATGCCATATTTTTATGGTGGTTATGTGGAAGAAAGCAGGTAGGTGTGAGGGAGGTGGCTGCTGGGCAGGAGGCTTTCACTCCATAGAGTTTTAGCCTGTCAGTGCCTTTGTAGGAGCTCTGCATTATGTTGCAGTGTAGGGAGCTGCCAGGAGAGGGGTGAAAATGGGGAGAAAGGAAGTTTGGTTAATAGAACAGGATTGTCCCTTGAGTGAGAAGAATGGGTGATGTATCAGTACCTGTACCAGCTTTGGCTGTAGAGCTGTACATCCTCAATTGTATATTAAAGATTAAGGAAAGACTCCAAAACTCTAAACTGCCTGTCTTCCTGCATGTATTTCTGTGAGCCTGGGTTTGTGCTATGGGTTCAGGTTATGCTCTTTTTTGTTTACACAACCACAGGCTTCTTGGAGCATCTGCCTTTTGCTCGCACTATGATTAAATTGTACAGGGTGAACATGTGTTTCTCAAATCTCCCTGCAGCTCTTTGGATATGACTGTTTTAAGTTTGACAAGAGGAGGCAAGGGTGCACATGAAAGTGTGCCGTTCTGAGTTTGTTCTTTTTGGTACTTTCATATTGCAAAGATCAATAATTTACCTCCTGTCAAGTGAAACCAGGAGATTAGTTGCATTAATTTTTGAATGCTTTCTTAGTATGTGTAAATTGATCTTACCTTGCTGAAGTCATGTTTGCAGCCTTACTGTACTGTGGTGGCAGGGGAGCTACACTGAGCTGTACTGGCTGAATGTACAGCTTAAAAAGCACAATATGTGAATAAACATAGCTGTTATAACAGGAGGCAGGGAATCATCAACAAACTTGTGGTTTGATGGGGCTGGGCACTGTTTTGGTTTAGACTGCTTATCAGATTTTTCCTCCAAGGTAATGTTTTGTTGTTTTTTGTTGTTTTCTTCTCAAGTACATCCTCTGCTCTTGGTTTTGCTCATCGTCTATACATATGGCACAGAGCTTTAGGCTGATTTCCAGTGCTCTCAAAATGGCCAATCAGCCCTTACCCAGCGTTTTGTGATTGCCAGTGTTTCATGCCTATGACAGGGGTGCAGAAATTCTGTGCTAATGTTCTTGGTGGGGATGGAGTGGGGGGTGGGTATGTTGTCAGCTGAACTCAAAGCAAGTGGTTCTGCTCGTCCTGAGCACCTTGGTGCAGTGGCACCCTAGTGGCTGAGATGCTGTGTGTCCCTGACCCCATGGCACTCTCTGGGTCCCACCCTCCTGCCCCGGCCTTGTGCCCAACAGGAACATGGCCTCAAGTGCCCGTGACTCCTCCCATATGGTTCTCTGCATGTAGGCTGGGGCTCGTCCAGGGGCTTCTGTGCTGAGGAGCACTTGCTGTAGGAGGACAGTGATGCCTGCCCAGCAGTGTCTTTGGGTGGAGCAGAAGTTCTTCACGCAGGCATTTTTGCTCCATTATTTCTCTGCAAAAACTATCCCTGGTAGATATTATAGTGCCACCTAAAACATTGCTTACTTACATTGTTCTGAAAAAGTGCTGGTAATAATCAGCCACCAGCAGGCAGCAGTTCCCTCTGAGTTGAGAGGCATCAAATGCCTGGTGCAGCACTGCTCCCCTCAACAGCTCAGGAGCTGCCCTTGGCCCATGGCACTGCTCTCTGTGCTACTGTGAACAGATGTAATTCTCTGATCACATCTCTCATTTGTGCATTGATTTTGAAATAATGATGTGTTTCTGCTTGCATACCTAGGGAAAAAAATAAAAGGAAATACTAGAACTCCTCCTTCATTTTGGACTGTATAGCTCAGACCTGCTGTGGAGGTACTGCACACAGCACTGCTGCTGTGCCTGGGTTTTTATGAAGTCCTTGGAAAGATTTAATTAAAACTGTTTTCTAGATTTAATCTTCTGCAGGAATGGTCTTTTAAAGATTCTACCCGTGGGGTATTGTTTATCCAATTTAAGGTATTGAAATGCAGAATATTATTCTGGTGTGTTTATTCTATGGAAATGGAGACTTAATTTTTTTCCTAAACAGTTTGCCATTATGTGGAGGAGATGCAGTCCATATTCTGCAACTGCTATGAGAGGTGAGATTGAAATGAGTTTGATTCTCTGCTGTATTTTATCTAAAGCCTGCAGGTAACTTGGCCTCATTGTGTCTGAACACCATAAGTATTTATTGTTTTTCTATTAAAACATTTCCATAGATATCACTGTCATTTATATTGTTCTGTATTTAACTAAAAATATGTTTTCCTCCTTGAGATTTTCTCTAGTTCTGGTCACAGTACTTCTGCTCCGTTTGTCCACCCAAGCTATTCACTGAATCTCTGGTGCTTGCTGGCAGGGTTTTTTTAGGAATTGAATATTGTGATGTTCCTGGGTTGTTCCCACAAGTGTACCATAAAGGCATAGCTCTTGCACTGCCATTGTATCAGCACTCAGATTCCTCAAGTTTCTCAGTGTGCAGATTGCAGCTGACAATTCAATGTGAAGTTACCTGTGCTGGTGCTGTAATGAAAACACTCACTGCCCTCCTGTGCTGGAAATCCCATTTTCAGACTCGGTTGCCCATGGCTCTTTTCCCAACACATTATCCTGGTTTTGCAGCCTCCTCTGCTTCAGGGAATTTCTCACCACATAGTCAATTGATGTTTCTTACTGAAAATTGAGCCTCGGTAAATATCTGACATGATCAATTCTGTTCACCCATAAAATACGACTGGCCCTTTTTCTCAGATCCTAATCAATGCCTTCTCTTTTTAATTTTCTACTTTCTACCTTGCACTTTACTTCTGTAGCCATATTCCCACATATTCCCTAGCTCTATTCAAAGGAGTTTGTATCTCTCCTGTGCAGAATGTCTCCAACATCAGAAGCTCTTTCTTTGGGTAAAGTGCAGTCCTTATGTCTTTGCAGACCTCCCATGCCAGAAACTCTCCTCCTTCTCAGATGGTTGTCCTGGTCTAGCCTGCTCCCATCTCCATGCAACTCTTCCTGTTCTTGCCTAGCCTCAGGCCTTGGTGGGGTCTGTCAGCCCTGAATCAACTTCCAGCCTTCCAAGCAGGTGGCCAGGTCCCAGGGGATGCAACTGCAGGGCCATGACCAGCTCTGTCCACCCTGCAGTGGAGTGACCAGAGAAAATCCTGGTATGTATTTAAAATTAAACTTGTATGCTTCTGATTTACATTCACAAAACCATACCAGCTCCTACCCTTATGGTATAATTTCCCCCTGTTAGTTTTCCTTTTCCTGTATGGTGCCAGTTCTGTATTGTTACTCATTTTATGTATCCTTTATCATATTTGTCAGTAAATCTCCAGCAGACACAAAGCAGCAGGCTCTGTTTGCAGCAGTACAGCTACCAGAGCTTGGCAAAATAGCAGTGCAAAATCATTTGCATTAGAGCTAATAAAGACAGCTGGAATGGGCCCCAAAATATGTTCAATAAACCAATAAGAGTGACTGCTGTTTATACTCCTACTTTAGCAAAACTAACTGGTTTTCATTCAATGTTTATAGTACTGTAATTGTGTAGTGTAGTATTTTCCTGCAATTTAAAACTAATATAATGGTCAATGCCTGTCTTTAAATGCTGGCAGTTTGCTAACAATTTCCGGTCTTATGCCTTGTGCATTTTATTTCCTCCATATGAGGAGAGGGTGAATGTCTCACCATGTATTTTGCTGTAACTCCTGGTAAATGCTGTTTCTTTTATAGTGACCATTATAACTATCACTTTTGGGAATAAAAGCACCTTGTGGTTTTTTTAACCCCAATTCCTGTATTCAAAATTATCCAGAAATCTTCTGGAGGAGTAGAGAGATCATAATTTAGGAAAAGAAATACATTAATTAACGAGTTAATATAATTCTTTGAAATTCTAGATGTTAACATACTGCTGTAGCTTTCTTCTGCATTCCCCCTAGCAAGTTTAGCTTATCTATCCATGGAAATGATTTATTTAAAATAGAAGTGTCAGACCTTGAGACAATATTATCCTACCAAATCTAAATGTCTTGGAAATACATGCTTATTCTGAAACATGCACATATTGGCTTCCATAAAAGAACATGCCTATTTTTTAGCTTACTTGATGCATGCCAGCAATTTTTTATAAAGTGAATAACTGATAGACATTCTTAATAATAATGACAAATAAAAAACATCCCTTTTTCACAATGCTTGATGATGCAAGGATACTCTATGGGATTATATAGGCAAAAGTAACAGGCAGAATTTTCCTTTACCCTCTTCCATACATGAAACAATAAATCAGTCCATACTAAGTTCATTTAGCCATATTTTACATCTTCTAGAACTGGAATTGTGTAGCCTACAAAACAATTTATATTTTATCTGTACCATCTAATTAATTAAATGGCCCCAGAGTACCAGACTCACAAATCTCGTTAATAGCTGAATACAGAAATAAAGACTGTTCAACCCTACTAGAATAATATTTGCATATCTCCACCTGCGATGGGTAATAAGTACCTGCCACAAATCAGAATTATGAATTTTGCACGCCTAACAAAACCGCAGGGGAAATTATACCTCAGACATTCCATAATAATTGCAGCTAAGCTGTTTAGTGCCATCCACTTATTCTGCCTGAAATGTTTAAAGCAGCAACAGTTGTAAATGAATTCAGGCACACATTCAAGAGAAAATGTTTTAGAAAGTTTTTCTGTCTTGCCATATGTAATTATCTTTATAGAAATGTTCATGTACAAGTTATAACATGCTCACATTTAAAATTGCAAATTAAAAAGTAAGCTTCTCCAATTAAAGTACATTTTATAAAAGCATCCTTGTAAGTTTACTATGATTATACAGTAAACAGTTTGGGCCATGTTTATCCCATTGATCTCCCAGAACTGGTGATCTGTTCTATAAAAAACTGCAGCAAGGGGTTTGATTTTTCAGTGCTTCTTTCCCCAAGAAAGTGATTCCTGGGGGAGAGTTAACCATTAAGGCTTGGACAGAAACACACTGCAATGTAGATAGTCTTTCACAGGCTGGGGAATTGGGGCATTAAAACAGGCAGCGTGAGTTTCCTCTGGCTTGTTTATTTTTGTGACAGAAGTGTATATGCATACATATACATATACATATGTATAGCTGGAGGAACAGTGGGATACTGGTGGTCTCATCTTCTGGTTGGGAGTGTAAAGGAATGATAATGCCCGAGTTTACACTTCATATAATGATAGGACTTGGAGAGTGCCCAAGAGCTCTTTATATGCACAGGTCCTGCTCAGTCAACTGCATTAGGACAACTCTGGGAACTGGATCATGAACTGCTTGCTTCAGGAACACAGGCTGGCCTGTGAATGTGGTATGGACCCAGCCACTGTGTATCTGCTGCTTGGGCACTGGGGAACAGTTCCCACTTTATCAACAGATGCTAAGAGCAGTGTGCTGAAGCCAGAGCAGCACATAGTGCATGTTCCACCTCTGTCTCTGGATGAAGGCACGGAGACATGGGGCAGCACCTGTCCCTGTGGGATCCCTGGTCCCAGCCCGCCACTGCAGGAGCTGGCAGCGAACACAGCTGTGCTACTACAAACATGAGGCATTAGGCAGCATACTGGTGGTGACAGCCCTGCTGCCTCTTGTGATATGTATGCATGAATTGTTATATTATAGACTTTAGAGAAGGCAACAGACCAACAAAAATAACTCCTCTTTCACTCTGGGTCTTGCTGAATACTTGGTGTTTTATGAAGAGCTAGACTTCCCCTTTCTTCAGCAGAGGTGAACAGAGCCAGAGCTGCAATGTGAACTGTATTTGTGATCACTGAAATCAACTTATAATTTTAAAGCTAGTCTTCTCATTTTGGAGTATTTTCTCTTAGTAATGCACAGCACAGGCAAGCCTGCATATGTACATTTAGGCTGCAGGTGAGAGTGGAAGTGAGACAGAGGAGAACCCCATTTCCATCAGATGAGAAGGGCAGAGACAGCCCAGAAGAAGGCATTTGGAAGATGTAATCAGGATGTCCATGAAGAAACCATATTGTGGAAGGGGGCTGGCAGTTTGGGTAAGCATTCAGATGCATACCTTTGTAGACAAGCAAACTCACCTCAGGGTTAGGTTTATGTGATTTTAGCACCAGTCACTGTGGCCTTACAACATGCAAATATAACCTCACTATAATGCTTGCTGTTATTCTAGAAGAGGAGCAGGAGAAGACAGGAGAGGACTGCTCTGGAAAGGCAGTGGTGCCCTCTGCCAAGCCCTGCCAGTGACACACAGCCCCAGGGGATCAGGCCCTGGAGTACTGCAGCTCCTGTGCCTGTAAACTTCCACATCTGTATGCTGGAAGGGGAGCACTCATTTTGCCAGTGTTTTAGTAAAGGATTAAAAAATAATTAGGATTTACATATGTTCAAAAGGAAGGGGCAAAGTGAAGCAAGAAGATGATTAAGTCGAGTTGATTGGCTCTGCCTAGAATGAGAGCAGTGAGTATGAAGGTTTAAGAAAATAGCTGATAGCCTATCACCATGATTAAATGTAGCTTAACACTTCTTTTTGTATTTTAGAGGACCAACAGATGAGGTCCCTATGGATTTTTTTCCATAAAATGGCTATAGAAGCTGAACTATCATCCCTCACTAACTTACACATTAGCCCAGGGCAATAAAGATGTTTTTATTGGAGGCAGATTTCATGAAAAGTTGTTCATTTTATCTCTGAGTACTGTACTGTGCTGAAGGCATTTAAGTGTCCTGTTGGGACACTCTGTCCTGGAAAGCAGTTACTTTCAAAAGGACAGCAAGGTCATTGGAAAAGCTGTGTTTTGTGCCAGAGGATCCTGCCCTTTCCCCTCAGTTCATCTGCCACTTTTTTGTCTTGGTTGAGAATGGAAGCCAAGTCACACTGTCAGACTGCAATCCCTGCTTGCACTCTGATGGATGCAGATCCAGCACCAGACAAACATGGTTGAAGGGGAGGCCCTGGTCCTCTGGTCTGCTTCCTCCAGCTTTGCCAAATCCTCCTTTCTCTCCTCTTGCCAGCAGTAAATGATTCTGTGTGTCTGCAGCAAGGTTTCAAGTTTTATCTTCAGTTCACGCCTGTTACCTAGGCTGTTCCCCAAACCAGCAGACTGGTTCCCTGCCGTAAGTTGCTACTTCTGTCTTTTCTAGAAGCAGTTAAAACTTATCACCTTAAAACTCCCATCACCTTAACTTGATTTTTCACAGAACCCTTTTCTCTAACCTTGGCAAATGGAGCAGTAGTTCAACCATTCCTTCCCCAACAGCTCTTGCTGTCCAGGCTGCCTCCCTCTGCCCATTCCTCCTGGTTAATTCCCTTGATTTCATAGATAATGTAACCCACTTGTCATCTTTCACCCATCACTTGGTATCAGACTGCAACAATCTCTTGGCTCTCGCTGCCATTACAGGATGGTTACATTTTCTGTCAAGACCTTCATGCCTTTTCCTCTTATTCCTGCACTTTCCCTTCAGCTGGCAGTGGCACCTAATAATTACCCATAAACCTGGCTTCTAGCTGTGATTCAGTGCTGCATGTTTGTTTCTGTGATTTCTGTGTTTGGAGGACTGTTGGCAGTTAAGGGATCCTCTCTCCCTCTTGGGTGTTCCCTGCTCCCCTATAGAGAATCCATCTTTCTTTGGGATTTTGTTGTCCACTTCCATTCTCATAGAAGCTCAAATACATGCAGGAGGTCTGAGGGTATCCCCTCTCTTATAAAGGCCAGAGACTTTATAATCTTAGCTAGTAGCTAACAGCATCGGGAAGTGCTAATTTATGCTACATCCATGCAGCAGTGTATGCTCTTAGCAGCAGTGCTGCTTGGGCTGAGTCCCCTTCCAGTTGTATTCATATCAGCTGGCCTCTGTCTGGAAGGCAGATGAGGAACTGGTGTTAGTGGTTTCTTTCCATAAACTATTATGCAGAGAATAATCTCTGATTGATGAGGTCGTGCCCCACTACCTTACAAAGAAATATGTGTCTTTCCTAGGTTTAAACAAAAGGCTATACTTGGCAATCAGTCAGCAGTTTCTCATTGATTATGACTAGCAGGGATTTTTATTATGCTTATTTTTGGTTTTGTTTCCTTCATTGATCTAAATCTAGGAAATATTTCTATTTAACCTTTCAATCTATAAAAAGTACAGATTTCATCTTATAAGATGCTTTAAGTATGTATAATAAAATGATGGTTTTCCCTTTACCTTGCACATTCCATTCATATTGTAATTTTTTGTTCAAGCTTAAGCAGTCCGTGTTTCATTAAAAAACCCCACACTATTCATATTTCTTTCATCCCTTATAAGATGTTAAAGGCAATGTTGCTTTGATGAAATTTGGCAGGTAAGAGGATCTAGTTGAATCGTCTCAAACCCCTGGAGTTTTGGGCCTCCAGCTATTATAGTAGAGCAGCTACGAGTATTCAGAAATTGGTCCTTTGTTTGCACTGCATTTCCAAGCCATCTGTAGCACACAAAAGCCACAGCTCTCTTTATAGTTCAGAATGAATATTTAAAAGTTCAGTTTTAGATTTTATTTGTAGCACTTCACATCTTCCTATCCCATCTGTCTTGTGTCTCAGAGCAGTTACATTCTACTGTACTAGGCAATGGCAATTTTTGTCTTAGAACCACAGGTGAGCGCTGGTTCCTTTCCATTTGGTATCAGTGTGTAGTGTGTGATCAGGATCTGCACTGAGCACATATGTGTTTATTTATTCCCATGCACTAAATTTTTATTTGATTATTAACAAGAAGCTGCAAATATCAGGCCATCCAGTCTGAAATTTTCCTGTGTGTGCCTGTAGAGTGGCAGAAAAACCAAGCAACTGCATGAGAGCTGCTGGCCCTGGATGGTGCAGCTTGGCACCGTGGCATGGCTGGCAGCACCCACCCCAAACCAGGGGAAGCTGTCCTTGCACCCGTGTGCTGAGCCCCACTTCCACTGTGAGGCTGGGAAGTGCCAGGTGCCCTTGGGAAAAGGGAGGGCACGAGGACACGTCACAGTGAGAGGGAACTCGTGTCATCTGGTGTGGAGGAGGCTGTAGGGAAAGGAGTTGAAATCACTTCAGCTGGTGTCAGCATATGCATTTGTATATATTCATATATATGTTCCATGGAAAATTTAGTAAGAAGCAACAGAGCTTCTCTAAATTGCAGGAAAATAACTCATTGTAGTAATTTACCCTGTTAGGGTATTATCACCTAGTTGGATCAGGTTCAGTATTTTGTATCTAAACCTTAGCTGCCTCTGACAACAGTGTGCCATTTTTTTTCTCTTCTGTGTTTATCTAGATACCTGAAGTTACCTCTTTTGAGTCAGAGGTATGAAAAGAGAAGCAACATGTCTTTCACAAGAAAAAAAAAAAAAAAAGAGAATCATCTACCTCCCGTTAAGTCATCAGTTTTGTTAAATTGATCATCCCTTGTTTTTATTTTGTGCCCTATCCTGGGCATGGATGGGATACCGTGGTAGAATGTTTGTTAGATTCTTAAGGTGTAAATGAATCATTGCTCTTAACTGAGTTCTTACTTTATTTTTTTTTTTAATATAGACGTATATAAATTTATACATGTGTATATATGAGTATGTGTGTGTATATATATATGTATATCACCATCCCTTTCTTGAAAAGGAAGTGAAATATGTAGTTAATGTATATCACTATGAAATTTTTTTCTAACTCAACAAAACCTTAAATATAGCAATCATGTTGCAATTCACTGTGAAAATTCACCTAAGAGTTATGTTGTCTTCATATGAAATAGAATTAAAGTGAATGAATGAAGACTACAGTACCCTGAACTGAGGTCCTGGGATTAACTAAAAACAAGAGCTTGTAAAGCCAACATTTGAGGTTCTTCAGTGTGTATTATATATTGCTATCTCATCAGATAAACTTAAAAGGGAAAGAATAATTCAGGTTATTGTACTGTCATTATTTAATAAAATTACAAAGAATTGTTTTAGACAAGCAATTCTGAAATACTTGATAGTAATTGAAAATAGATTCTTATTGAGATAGATTTTTAAAGAAAGATTTGTGCAAGTCTGGCAGGCACGTGTTTTCATTATTTCACACTCGGATCTTCCATGAAGCCAGATGCTGGCTTCCCCAAAGACTGATGCCTTAAGTTTTAACTTTCATATTTTTCAGATACTGCCTTAATGTGTAACTGTGAACTTCATATGAAATGTCAGCAAATTCTCTTCACAGTTTAGTCAGACAAAACAATATTTTTCTAGCCTGAGAACCAAGGACAGCGTTGGAGCTTCAGGTGTTAAAAGGTGTAGACAACAGTGAATTGAGGAGAGCAGTTTGGGAGGATGGGACTTCGTAACCTAAAGCTGTAATTGGTCAATTAACCCCAATATGTAAATGGGCCAGAACTTATAAAAGTGTGGAAACTTGTGGTTCTTCTTGGGTCATTCTTCTGTAGAGCCACAGCTGGGCTCTTGTACTGTCCAAGGTGTATCCTTTGAAGGCATTTTAATAAATACCTACTTTATTCCTTTAACTCTGTCTAGCCTCTGTTCCAGATAGCCTCTCTAGGCATCAAGATGAACACCTTATATAATATTTTAACTAAATTTCTCACTGATCTGTGGAGGCTTATATCACTTTAAAGAAAGAATAGAGCAATGAAGAAAGTAATTATTTTTTCTGAACTGAATAAATCATAGGGAATAAACTGTTGTTTCTGATAGCAGTGCCTCCAACGTGGAGGTCTGAACCTCCCCAGGAGTCACAGGAGTGCTTCGTGGCTGCATTCCCATGAAGATAAGGGGTATTTTTGCAGTGATGGGCCTTTTCCTAATGAAAGGCTGCCTCACCTTCTGGCTTTGCATTTTGTTACGCGTTCCTATTTTTTTTTGTTTAGGCTTTAATGTAATGAACTTCTCTTTTCCACAGATCTCCATCATCTCCTGCTAGTGCTCCCTGGAGAATAGATAGTCAAAAAGTGATATGGTTGCATATCACATCCAGTTCTTGAGTCTGTGCACTGCCTACACAACCATTGCTGTTGCTTCAAACAAGCAGTCCTAAGTACGTATGAGAATTTAATTTCAAATGTTGTTTTGGTTATTTATTATTTGGGGAATTTTTGTCTGCTATCACTTTATGAGAGACTGAAAAACATAGACAAGTAAAATTGTATATTGTTCCCAAAGCGCTTTCTACTGTGAGCAGCTCAGCTCCCTTGGCTGCAGGAGTGTCATGGGGATGAGCAGATGATGCCTGCTTAGAACTTCTTGTGGCTGGGAAAGGACTGTGCTAGAGGTAAGGAAGGCACGATAAAGGCATTTATTGTACATTGTCTATTGTGTCTATCTATTGCACAAGAGCTCTGCCTTACTCTACTTTTGCATGGAAATGGGGAATAAGTTTTAATCTTCAGATTGCAAAATCTAGACTATGAAGAATCTAGAGGAAAGGTGGAAAAAGAATAATTTAGCTGCTAGTTTCATTTACTTTAGGAAATGAGTGGGGCAAAAGAAAGAATTTATGGGGGATGGGAATTAAAGCTCTTCTGGCTGGATACCCTGAGTTAGTTTGTTAAAGAGAGAACTTGTGGAGAGTTGTTTGTTAACATGAACTGGCCACTCTTATCTAGATATCAGGATTTTGCAAAACTCTTCAAGCGAGGGAAGTAATCAAAAGAAAGAAAAAGTGTCACTATTTTCCTCATAATAAAATCTCAAAATAGAAAACATAATGGGGCCTCAGACCATGTCTTGTGAAGGAAACACACTTAAACCCAAACATAACGAAAAGGTCTTTCTCTGGGCATCTCTGTGTGGGCATCCCTTTAGTCTCCAGCTGACCTACCTCACCCCATTGGAAAGGCCTGAGCTCCCCAGTGAGTAGTCAGGACTCTGGAAGCATCTGGCAGCCTTTGGTCTGACTAATACTTAAAAGTCTCTAGGGCTGCCTATAGTCTCAGGAATTTTTTTTTTCATTTATTCTTTTATGAAACCTTTGTTCCTTCCACATTGTTATGTGGCTGATCTATTGTGAATCTGTGTTCTATATGGTGTTTTTAATAGTTTGCTTAGTGTGTGTAAAAAGCTGTAAATTTTCTGTGCCTTGCCTGTCTTCATCCTCAGCAGTGAGGTTCCTTCCACAGCAGTAAGTCAGTGGGGTGGAATGGCTGCTCTGCCTGGCTGCTGCCTGCCCATTTGTGCAGGTTGTCCAGACCTGTTCAGCTTTTTCTGCTTTGTAGTGCATTTAAATATCAAGGTGGGACAGATTCTAGTCCAGAATTTCTTAAAATGGGAACCTGGACATATGTACCAAAGCGGATTCAGAAATATTGAAGCTTTGACTGGTCTCAAGAGAGCTTCTTCATAGTTTTAAATTTTGCAAGAGATTGTTTTTTAGGCATCTCAAGCATTAATTTAGGAACCTAGTTTTAGACACCTAGATTTTTGGATCTGGCCCTGCTGTTGTGTAGGTACGTGGTGCAGTCTGTCAAAGCAGAAAGGTGCTGGAATGGAGTTTCTGTCCTCCAAGCACACTCATGCTCCCCTCTCCCGCCTCGCACACCAGGAATGTGCAGACAATAGCAGTGTTTCTCACTGAGTTCATGCTGTCTGATGGCATAATCCAGCTGCTTCAGTGTAAATCAAAAAGATTTAAAAAATATGCAGGTGTCAAGTGCTGACAGAACAAGCAATTAAGAATACAGGAACTATAAGATCCTAAGAGAACATCTAACCTGCATTTTTCAATTAATTCCAGCTGTTTTTTCCTCCTTTTCAAAAAGCAGGACCTGTGGCTGCTGTGTGCCTGGCCTGAGAAAGCCAGCACATGCCTCCAAGGGCTTTCTGAAATCTCGTTGTATAATTTTTCTTTTTACATGAGCTAGGGTAGCCTAGGGACCAGTTTCTTTAGGATAGCTAATTCTGAAATATTCAGCAAAGTTTTTCATTGTCAAATATATTGCCTTCAATGTCATTCAGTATTAAGCAGTGTGACTGGTTGGGGTGAGAGGAGAAAGACAACTGTCTTTAAATTCTGTACCCTAAGAGGCAGCTGCTTTTCCTGGCCAGTTGTCAGCACCATGGTGCTTTGAGGATGAGGAGGGCTATGGAGAATGAGGCAGAACATATTTTTGCTGTTCCAGCAGCCTGGGCTTTCTCCCACAGAGGAGGAGGGTGTCCCTACCCCAGCTTGAGGAATCTGCTCCAGTGGAAGAGGATGGGCAGGAGTGTGGGTCCAGCTGGGCCACAGCTACAGAATAAGGTTGAGCTTAAATGCTGTTTTTTCAGCACTTTGTCAGGCTAGCATATGCTCACTCTGAGTGTGCAATTGCACTTCCACTCTTGGTGTGATCTGGGCTAAAGGTTGGAAGAGGAAAAGCTGAAACAGAGAGACCAAGGGCAAGGATGAAAGTCCTTGCTCCAGGGTATTTGTTTTTTTACCCACTGTAACTTGTGAATGGCCAGGTCAGGTCAGAAATACCTTTCTGTGCAGCACAGCTGGAGCAACAGCCTGAGTCCTACTCTGTCTGGTACTGCCAGGCTACCTCTTATCCTTGTCTTCCATTAGGAAGTTCATGAAATCAAGAGGACAAAAAGGTACATTTGAAGTCACAGCATGAGGGTTCTAAATATCTAGAGAATACTTTAAAATTGTTGGGTTTTACTCAATTTTTCCTTTCATAGCATGATCGACATTTGGTGCCCTGTAGCTGACATTTAAATGAATATTCATGTAAATTTTGTAAAAGAATAAATGGTAGACAATAGGAGGTTCATTGGGAGATTATGTTTAATGCTGAAAACAAGAATATGCACCTCAAACCACATGTGTGATTTTCATAGATCAGTTTATGAAGTTGCAGAGAAGAAGGATATTCAAATACTTACTTGTTTTTGTAAACCCAATAAGATTTTTAAGCCACGTGTTTACTGTACTTCCAGAATTCCATCAGGCTGCATGTATGCACTTCTTAGTCCTTAAAACTAGTAAGATGTCATTAAAACATTCATTGACACAGCCACTGTCTACGTTAGCTAGACTTCCAACATTATTAATTCAGCTCTTCCTGCATTTGCATGCAGCACCTCAACTACAAGGCTTTAATGCTGTTCTCTGTTTTGTTCTGCTGTCAGGTATTCAGCTCTGGTGTCTTCTTCACTGAAGAATTTCTATATTACAGCTCTGAATACAATCTGTTTTGTATGCTCATGAACTAGCTCTAGGACTCAAACCCCCCATATTTTATATTCTGCACTGGTTAATTTTTCATTTCTCTGGCACCTTGCTGAAAAGTAGTCAACACAGTTAACAATATACATTGTGCAACAATAAATATTTTATTGGCTATATAATCTGCAGAATTCACAAGTTTGATTTTTTGCTGGGAATTTGAATAAATCTATAATTTTGAATATTTGGTGAAAACTCATTTTTTTATAGCATTTTACACTATAATCACTGTAAAATGTATGATCTGGTTTTTAATGGGAGCTGTAGACATTACCTTTACTTTTTTTCCTTAACATTGCTAAATTCTAATAAAGCTATTTTATAGGCAGAATAGTTTGGAGCAAGAAATACAGAGACTTCACCCTGGGAACAGTATATAATTCCTATACTAGTAAATTACAATGTATTCCTTACACAAGATTGCAGTAAGGAGTGTCTTTTTTCGAATGTGTCTAAATACTTATATATCTACTTTATATATGAATATGTTGTACAGTTTGTTTTGTTTTGTTGTGTTTCTTTTTATGCTGTTGGAACAAAAAGATTTCTTTATTTATGTCTAGCTTGTGGTTCCAGTCCTTGTCTTAAGCCCATTGTAATTAAGGAAAAAATTCTGTTTTTTTCTACCCCAGCATTTCCCCTTTATACATACAAGTTTGTGTTTCTGTTCATGGTTTCATATACAGGAATGTAGGGATGAAGATTGTTTGGTTTCTTTATATATTAATAGATTAAGTTTTTATTGTTGCACACACCTAGAAACAATACTTGATCCAGGAGACAGAAAGATAAATTACTCTGTATGCAGAGTATTGAACTCCTATCACTATATTGTGATATATTAATTCTTTTTTTAATGCATTCATCCTCACTGTGTGCCTATGAGATAGGGAGTCTAAGTCATAGTTATCTCAAAGATGGGGGATTAAGACACAAAAAACCCCTAAGCAACTTGACTAAGGCTGCACAGTGTGTTTGTAGCAAAATAGAGAGTGATCAGAGCTCTGAGTGGTGATGTTAAGTATGGGATCATTCCCCCTCTGTTCCAAGGCTTCAGCTCTTTCCTCAGAAGCTATGCTTTCATTCTGTTTGAATAAAATTCCATTTGAAATAAACCAGTATTTCTAAATGAAAGTATCATAGTCTGCAAGCCAACCAAGGGATTTTAAACACTGTTTTACTGGGAATGTAATTCCCCATCATTTTCCCCTGTGACCTTTGTGTTTTTGGAACTATTGACCAATTCTCTTGATGGGGCATAGCAACACTGGTGCCTATTTGAATATAAACAAGATTATGACAAGAAGATGGAGCAGCTGATTTTTTGGAAGGGTTTTAAGCACACAGGGAGAAAAATATTTTCATGTCCTCCAAAGGATGAGTGAAAAAAGGATAAAATGAACAATGCCTCCCAGAGCAAAGTTACTCAGCATAGCTGGCTGCGTTTAAGCTAGTGAATACTTTCCAGAGAGGAGTAATGAAAGCTCAGGTGCTCAAACAGTTTGAAATGAGACTGGCAAATGTGTTTAAAAAACAATCTGTGATTAAAGAGTGTCTGTTCTGATTATGTTTGTTACTGAGAAAGAAACTCATATTTGGTAATGCATTTGTTCCAAAACTGGTAACCTAAATATTGATGAATGTTTGCAAAATTCTGCAGTAGGTGCGCAGATTAGCTTCAGGTTTAGAATTCCCTCAGGTAAGAGGAACTATGAGTTGTTTCTCCCAGATGAAGATAAATGTGTCTGCTGTTGACAAAACAGTTGTCTTTATTCTTGTAATGGAGGACTTTAATACTGCTTCTTTTAAATGTCATCCGCCTTCCCAATACCTTTCTTTTCCACCTTATCTGTTCTCAAAAACTCAGGTTGGACCTTGCTGAACATAAACAGTTGTTGCAGTTTCATAAAACTCATCTTGTCTCTTTGTGTGCACGTAGTGACTAGAAGGTGTTTACAACCACTTTGAGTGGTTCTTGTTCTGACAGTACCTCCATGAGGCTTGCTCTTGCCACTGAGCTTCATGGGCTGTGCACAGGACACTATTTGTGTTTTAGCTGGGCACAG